TTTGAAATGTCTGGGTAAAAAATAAAAATTAAAAAACGTTTTACCCGTTTGTAAACAATATCATTTATTTTTAAAAGATTTATAATATTTTGGAGCAGCAAATCATAAATCATGGACTTCTGCTGTCTTCATTAGTTTCAAAAACACTGATTCATTACAATTTAAAACAGCATCTTTGGATATATTTTCTGCTGAAGACACCGTTGTCCTAAAAAAAAAAGAAGTTCATAAAAAAATCTTACACATAACTTAGGAACAGTATTACAGACAATTTTGGCGGTTTTAAACCCCTGACTTTTCGAAACAGCGATATACCTTGAAAACAGTTATAACCCCATGCCTACTCTGAACTGCCAAAACAACTCTCAAAATGACGCATTACATATTTGTACTTTATGTCCATTACTGTAATGATTTATTCAGGAACATTTGAGCTGGTTGTAGTTCTTTCATTTTCATTTTATAAAAAAAAAAACATTTATTTTACTTGATTGTAAATTAAATCCCATGTTGTTATTTAACCTATAACTTATTCTAATGCAACAGTCAAGTTGCATGTTAATTTGCTATGCAAAGGAAAATAAATAATTTATTTTGGGAAGTTAATTTATGTGAAATCATGAATATATTTATATAATAACCTTGCAATTTTGAAATTATTGCTGTTTTGGCTTTGAGTAGGCTATTCGGTTCATAAGATCAGTTTACAGTTGTTTACTGTATAAAAATATAACATTTTAAAATATTTATATTTATCAGCCTATACATATCGGTTATCTGCCTCCAAATCTTAAAAGTTATTAGTTATTGATATTGGCAAAAAATCCCTACTGCTTGTTTAAACTACTTATTTAAAATGAGTTGAAAAAACACAATTCTTAATGTTTTTTTGGGAGAACAATTGTTTTATGTTTAATCCACTTAAATTTGTAAAAATGATTAGGTTAACTTAATTGATTTGTGTTAGGACAACATGAAGGAAGCATTTTTACAGTGTTGTTAATGCAACAACCTCCTTAAAAAGTCAGAATTAACAGAGCCCCAGATGACAACTCTCTTATAATCACAACAAAAAAAATCCTTAACTCAAAGTTTGCTGTTGCAGGGAACAGAAGTGCACTCATTGTGTTTAATCAAGTGTGCATGAAGTGTCCATTAGAGCGCACTAAACTAAGGCAGCAGCTAAAATAATTTGTCCACGAGCTTTCACTTCTGTTGAGTCAATTGCCATTTCCGAGCAGGTTATTTACTCTTCTGATTAAGCCTGCATTCCTGTATGACCACAGATCTGGATTGTATTCATCATGCGAGCAGTTTGCGCTCTGTAGAGACAGCGATCCATGTCCTCAGCAAGTGCCCTGACCAGACCGCTGCCCGTCAGAGATGATCCACTGTCATTAAAGGCATGACTAATATTGGGAAAACAGCTGTGAGGTTATGAACCAGAATAGACTGACTAAAACACTGTGGTTTGTTTATGCATAATGCGTAAACTACATAATGTCTTTGTTTAGGTTATTTTAGGGGTTTAATATTGAAGGTGTTTATAATATGTTAGGTGTTTAATATTTAATTGATGGACTGTAACCTCTATTAGAATGTTCTTCTTGTGGTGATCACACATGCATTCATATGTACACTACCAGTCAAAAGTTTGGGGTCAGTAGGATTTTTAAATGTTTTAAAATCAGCTTCTACTACTCAACAAAGATGCATATATATCATTAAAAATACAGTACACATTGTAAAACTGTGAAACATTATTGTGCTATAAAATAACGGTTCAACAGTAGTTTAATATTTAATTCAATCATTTATTCTAGTGATTTTAATTATGAACTTTCAGCTTCATTACTCCAGTCTTCAGTCACATGATCCTTCAGAAATCGCTTCAGTATTAATTATTGTTATTAATATTTGTATTATTATTGGTAATAGTAATGAAAAGCTATAACGACTGGAGTAATCATTGCATTTGAAACTACGTACAATAAGAAAGCAGTTATTTAATATTTACCATATATTTTGTAAAATGCTTCCTTGATGAACAGAATAATCTTTCTTTAAAGATTTAAAAGACTTTTTTATTAGTTGGCCTATAAACTCCAGGCAATACTACAGTATAGCAACAAGAATCAGTCCAAGGCACTCGAATAAAGTGAAAAAAAAATGAAGTCTGCCTTCAACAGGGTAAACTGGTTACCCTGATAAGGCAGACTTCTGCCGAAACGCGTAGGTTTTTAGAGATTTAGCCATGTGAATAAAGGCTTTTTAATTTTTTCATTTTATTCGAGTGCCTTGGACTGATTCTTGTTGCTGTTTTGATGAATCCCTTACCCAAAGAGCACCGACCATACATTTGAGCTTACCCCAGAGCGCTTTTTGTTTGTTTTTTTCTGGAGTAAATACTACAGAATATTTCCAGTTGTCCCATCCATGACAACAACATTGCATGAGCACAAGCAACAGATACACAGTTAGGCAGATCAATTAATATGAAAACCTAATATTTCAGTATTTTTAAAGTTTTCTTTCTGTCGAGTTGTTTCTCACTTTCTTTATACCCACAATAACTTTTTGCTTTGCCAAAGACCAATCTTGCAAAAAAACAAACAAAAAAACAACAGAAGCAGACCAAAAAAATAATGTTTGAATGGACAAGATACTGTGAGCAGGGATGTAGTTTGTGGTGTGAATGGGCTGGAGGTAACCCATCTGCACCCATAACTCAACACTTGAGATTACAAATTCTCAATGTCTACTTGCAAATATGGTCATTAAAAATAAACCAATCAATCAAGCACACCTGCACTTCAACACCTCAATAATCAAACCAAAACCACTCCATTGACTACAAGTCTGGGAATAATTACTAGTAACTAAAACCTTTGTACAAGCACCTGATGAACAAGCAAAAATAAATATATAATAAATAAAAAATATGTTCATTTACCACTGCAATTTACCTTTGCATTTTTTAACAAAGTTGGTTCAACAGTGGCTAACTAAAAATAATGTGCTGGTTTATCTAGGCATGAGACGATAACTGGTTTCAAAGTATACCACAGTTTTTAAAAGATAAGATTTTAAAACCGCCAAAATGTTCTATTATACTCTAAAGCAAATGTAAGGGTTTTAATGTATTTTGATGTTTTGTAACAAATCTGTGTTTTTGAAACTAATGAAGAGAGCAGGGGGGGACGCGTTGGCGCAGTAGGTATGTCACCTCACAGCAAGAAGGTTGCTAGTTCGAGTTTGCATGTTTTTTTCCTCCCGGTGCTCCGGTTTACCTCGAAAGTGCAAGGACAAAGGCTAAATTGTCCGTAGTGTATGTGTGTGATTAAGAATGTATGGGTGTTTCCCACTAAAGGGGTTGCAGCTGGAAGGTCATACGCTGCGTAAAACATATGCAGGATAAGTTGGCAGTTCATTCCGCTGTGGCGACCCAAGAATAATAAAGGGACTAAGTTGAAAAGAAAAGAAATAAATGAAGAGAGCAGAAGTCAATGATTTATTTTAACCATTTACCCTGACACGTTTCCTAAAATATAATATTTTGTGTGGAGAAAAAAAAAAAAGATGTATTTTTGTTTTGCCCAGACACGTAAAAAGTGCTTATTTTAGAGCATTGATCACAATACTATGATAGCATGAAACATGGTATTTTTATCCAAGGTTATCATGCCTTCAGAATCGTATACCTAGATGTTACTAGTAAACATAAAAAGGTAACTTAACTACTTGTTATTTATTAAAATATGTAAAGGGAACTATGCCTATAGAGTTGTGTTAATAACTAAATATTTACTGTTTCAGCTATTTTGAAAATATTGTGTGCAGTAATTTCTTTCGTGGAATTTTAAATGTCCTTATATCAGCTAGTGGCTATTTTTAAGACCCATTTTCATGTTTTCTAACTACAAATCACAATGTTTATTCAACTTGTACCTCTATTGAACTGTTGCTTGTAAAACTAAAACCAATTGGTATCTTAAAGAGCTATTTGTACATAATTTAACCCATAAAACTCACTTCTATGGTTTAAATCAGGGCACACCAATCTCGATCCTGGAGGGCCGGTGTCCCTGCAGGGTTTAGCTCTAACTTGCTTCAACACATCTGCCTGGGTGATTTAAGGTTACCTAGTAAGACCTTGATTAGCTTGTTCAGGTTTGTTTGATTAGGGTTGGAGCTAAAATCTGCAGGACACCAGCCCTCCAGAAACAAGTTTGGTGCCCACTGGTCTAAATTAATGTATTGAGGTTGCTTCAGCAATTGTTAAGTTACACACTTCAGTAAAATCACTTCAGTAAAACATCTGTGGGTTACAATTTTTTTTTCAGTTTAGCAGAATGGGTGCCTGACTGAATACCAACTAGTCATTATTAAAAAGTATCTAATTCAATATATAATTATTTATTACCAAAAAAAAAAAAAAAAAGACTTATACGTGCTAGTCTTAAGTAATAATAATAACAACAACAACAACATGATTACAAGAGGCAGGCTGGTTAATAAATATGTTATAACCATATATACTGTTTTAATTATTTTGTAAATATTGTTTAAAATAAATTTCATTGAAAGCCATTTAAACAGCATCCTATCATCCAGTGGCCATGGAAAAGCCCATCTGGAGGTTTCTCTGGATGGAGGTCCTGCCTGATGACAGTGCTGTGTGGAGGGGTTTCCTCCTGCTCTCTCCTGCCAAGCGTTTATTGGTGGAACAGCAGGAATTCCATGAGGATGTCCTGACCTTCATCACTTTCACAGGCAGACACACAGGCGGAGGATCGAATTGCATTCTCTAGAATCTTCCACATAAGTGATGCGAGTCTATCAGATCCATAACACCAGAACCTACGGTACCGTGACGTGACAACATTTCCCTCATCAACCGAGCATCTACGCGTTTTCTGAAGGCATAGCCCTTGCTAAAACATGCAGCCTCTAAAGAAGACGATGCGTTGATCGATTTGTTATGATTGAGTGGGTCTTACCTGTGGGAGCAACAGCTGCTGGGTCAGGAGTGACTCGGTTCGCCAGATGACTCGTGAGTGAACTCTCCAAACCCAATACCGCAGAGATGACGAGACCACGCAGCAACAGAACCGCTGCCGCCGACAAGAAAGTCATTGTGTGCAAAAAAAGCTTTCAACCAACAATGAATCAATAAATAAACAAACAGAGACCACACAGTGTTTTCACCCTGCGGATTGTCAAACAATCACAAGTGTGATTTCAACAGTAGTTACACAGAAAGCAGCGAAATGAAAACAACACAAACCGATATCCAACCTGTGTTACTAAAACAAAAGGTAAAGTAGCCCCAAAAAAGAAGTAATCCAACCTAAAAAAACGAGCTAAAAATGCATCCAGACTGTCCAAGACGTCAAAAGAAGATCGCGAGGTAAAACTCCATCCAAAAGAGATGGTCAACTCTTCTAATATGACACATTGAAATAGACATCAGAGCATTCAGACATCAGACACCGAACTGGCTTGGATGATCTGCCTGTATCCCACTTTAGGATCCAAACAGACACGACAAGGAATCCCCTGTCTTAAATCAACACCCACGGGAGATGAAAACACGCATTTTCCTGCTACAGATCGAGCCAATATCCCAATTCTACACTGGAAGTCTGTTACATCCACAGGAGCCGGCGAATATCCAGCATAGTAAACGCCTCTGAGAGCGAAAGTGTCAGATCCCAATGTGCCGTTTAATCCGAATCCAGCGGGACCGTCCGAAATACACGCGTGTGCCGTTCATGTCCAAATATCAAGCGAGTTGAAATGTCAAGTCCGCATATCTGCGCCTGACACGAGGGCTCAGGTCTGCCCCAGTGTTTTGCTAGTTGATGCAGAAACTAAATTCAGGGGGCGGAAGTCCGTATGCAAATCATTTGACAACAGGACGCCGCCGGCTGTTTGATTCCGGCGTTCTCGCCTTAAACTCTCATATGACTCAAAAGGCAGTAGCCGGTGCTTGGAGTGAATGGGGCTGTGCGGCAACAATGAGCGGTGTGTGCTTGCCTTCACTATCGGTATGCACAAAGAAAAGCACTAAAGTTCCTCGGGAATGCTGGCGCCACCCGGATACAGCCCGCGCTATTGTTCATCACTTCCCACTTTTATTTCTCCCATCGCGGACACGCACTAATTTACAGTCAGGAAATCTTCCAAGTTTTCCTCCTCGCCGTGGCCTGTGATTGGCTGAACGGTCCCAACATGGCAGAATCCTATTGGCTGAGGGCGGGAGAAAGACGTGAGCTTTGAAAAGACAGACCGCGGTCTGGAGCAGGCAGGAAATAATAGCCGCTCTCTTTGGGTTCTGGGATGATCTTCACCTGGAATATTTTACAGGTGAAGCATTACAGGGAGTTTTCCCGACAAATGTGGACGTGGTTTACCAGTTGCAAGTTTATTGTAATTATACATTTCTTTAAATCACATTTTTCTTTATATAATATGGCATGAGATACAGTATAGGCCTATTCCAAGAGCAAATTTAGGATTTTCAAAAAAGTGTGTGTGTGTGTGTGTGTGTTTGTGTGTGTGTACACATACTTAAATATTAATACACTTATATTGCATTGTATACACTTATTTGTGTATTGACTAATATGGTAGGGTTGTATACTAATCTAGCAGTATTCCACGGTTGCATAGACAGGCATAGCCATTTGAGTTGTCAATGTTTTCGTAAAAAAATTTAAAGGGGATTGAGGCGATAATTTAGTTTTAGCTTCAAAAAATCAACATGAGCTAATCGCGAAAGTTTTAGTGGGGTGAGTAGTAATAAGGGGGGTTAAAGCCCCCCTAAAAGTGGCCTGATGACACCCATGACCTACTTTAAATATATTAGGGATAGTTCACCACAAAATTAAAATCCAAAAATCAATTTGCAATTCTTCAATGTATCTTCTTTTGTGTTAACAAATCTAACTTGTATGGAACAAGTAGGGTAAAGGGTGAGTAAATGCCTTCAATATTTTTGAGTGAACTATCCCTTTAAATTGGATATTAAATCATTAAAATATATTTAAAAAATAAATAAACAATAAACAGAGTCAGAGCCGGAGTGGGACTCCCTTTTAGCTCTGGAGTTTCAAGCCTTAGACCAGCCCACCTCAGTCAACAACGACTGACAATATTAAAATAACGTTATTTCCAATTCAGTTTCTAATGACACTAACACGTCTTTTTCAAGGACACAGCTGCTTCAAACATTTTTTCATAAATATGAGAACATTAATTCTTTATAGATTTCCAGTCCTTTGTAACGGTCGTCACACACACACACAAAAATATGTACCCCTACATAAGTAACCCAAACAGTATTATATGTCTTAACACTAAAAATGAAAAAAAAAAAAAAATTATCCTGGTGAGGGTCGAACTCAGATCGGCGGCTTTGTAACGCAACATGCTAACCACTAGACCAAGATATCATTGTTAAGATGATGTGTTCAGGATAAAAAAATAAGTATTGCACTGTTATCTGCTGCTATTGATGTCTACTCTTTTTCTCCCCTTTTTAGATTTATGATCAAGTTATGTCAGATTATTAATGTAGTGAATCATCTGATTTTCATTGAGCAGGTGTAATATTCATTAATATTAATTAATATTCACTAAGGTGCCGCTGTTTAGGGTGGAATGATAAATAAATAAATAAAAAGAGCAGGGCTGCGGCAAAATAATGATTAAAAATAGTGTGGCTATGGTCAAATAAATAAATAAATAAAAAAGTGCAACTGCTGAGAGTGCAAGCAGCTAGGGACACCAACCCCCATGGCCAAAAAACGGACCGGCTCACCGGGAATTCTCCCGGTGCTCCCGATTAGCCAATCCAGGCCTGAACAGAGTTATATATTCTGCAGACTTATGTAGCCAAATGTAATAACCAACTAATCATTTTCCAAATGTTTCACAGAATGCCCAAAGAGAAATTAGCAATTGTAACTAGTCCTGTATCATGCTTATTATACCATTGATTTCCAGTTTGTTTTTTAAAGCAAACGGAGATGCGCCCAAGATACTGTTGTACATTTTATTAGACTGCACAGAGCTGTATAATAACACAACTTGAACATGTATTTAGCATGCTGTTTCACTGCTTCTTCCCCATGCACTCTCAGAATTAAAAGTACAAGAACTGTCACTGCGGCAGTACCTTTTGAAAAGGTATGCATTTGTACCTGAGGAAGTCCATATTGGTACTTCAAAGGTACATTTAGGTGCATTTGGGTACTGATGTGTACCTTTGAAAAGACACTTCAGGCTCTTGTACCTTGGTTTCTGAGAGTGTGTGATCATAACTGGTAGAGCCAGAAGCAGTTGACTGTGGCCATAATGAAAGCTCTACTCCTTTCGTGCCACTTCACACCCTGTCTCTCGTTAGCAATTGCTTTAGTGCTCTCATTCCAATTCAAGCGCACACTGAAGCTGCGGTCACACTAGAATTTGATAATGCGAAATTCTGTCGTGCAGCACTGTGAAAAGGGGTGGGAATAAACAAGATTATTAGGCATTAAACAAGCAAGCGATTGCTCCATGTTTTAAATTTCTGTCCAGAGAGGTCATGTTTTGATCCTCAGTTGGTCTCATGCAGTCAAGTAATGCGATTTCGCAGGTCAGAGTTCACCAAGCTGCGAAACTGCGAAACTTAATGCATGACCCTGAATTTCCAGTCTGACGCATTCACGTGCGTATGAACGGAAGTCTATGGGAGGAAAGGCCCAGTGTGACCACAGCTTTAGGTTGTGTGATGGGCTTTACTCTGCTTCAAACTACCATGATAATACATTATGAATACTTTAGCTCAGGGATGTAAAACTTAGTTCCTGGAGGGCCACACTAGTTTAGTTCCAACCCTGCTTCAACACACTTATGCCGAGTTCAGACTGCATGATTTTCAAAGTAGTCGTGTCACAGATGTTGTCACACTGCATGACTATCTGGGCTTGCGTTTCGTCGCTGCTTTGTTTACTCTGCAAGATGGATCGGCGACAGGGGCTTTCAGATTGCATGAGTTTACTATAGGAAGAATCGCTGACAACTTTGCCCAAACTACATCTCACAGCCAAAAACACGTAGTATGTCTTTTGTTATTAACTACATAATGAGAAAGAAGCCTTTAATGGGGTAGAACATGTACATGTTTGCTCACCTGGGTTTAAAGAGAATTAGCCATTTCTCCTCAACGTTGATAATAAACTAATTTCTTTCTGTATGAAACGTCAAACAGACACGGGTGCTCCTGAGTCCTGTCAAACCTCCACTAGTTTTTCCTCCATTTCGTGGGTCCAAATAAACCGAAAAAGAGCGCTTTTACCTTCTCCCCCAGGCCCAGCCTCCCGCTGGCCTGCAGCAGGTATACACACACGCACACACAAGTGAAAGCTGCTCTCTCATTGGCTGTAGGCGATGGCTGATGTTACTTTCAGTCCAAACTCAATTCACACAGCATGATTTGAATCGCCGACAGCTCCAGATATTTAGCACGCCAAATATCTCGCATGCATCGGCGACTCATCGGCGATTCTCTCAGATCGCGTCTTTGAAAGTTCATACTGTGTGATTGTCACTCACGTGCACGAGCAGCGATTTGCCTGTGATTTCAGGCATTTGTCGGCGATTTCTCAAAACCTGTCGGCGAGCCAAAATCGGGGCTAAAATCACGCAGTCTGAACTAGGCATTACCTGCAAGTTTCAAACAAGCTTGAAGGACTCAATTAGTTTCATCAGGTGTGTTAAATTAAAGTTTGAAATCCCTGCTTTAGCGTATCCATGAACATGATTTCAGCATCGCTGGTCCCAATTAGCAAAATATCCATCCTAAATAGTGTTTGAAAATAGAATTAGTATGTCACAAATCGTAGTATGTTGAAAAAAAAAAAGTATGCCAAAGGTTCCTGGATGGTTTACTATTTCTGGTGAAAAATTTAAGTGTAGAAGCGTTCATACTCTAACCACTGATTTTACCCACAATACATAACCTGTTGGACGTATTTGATTAGAACTACAAATGTGGGTGAAAAGTGTAAATAAACTACAAACATGGAGTATCTGTGAGCCCAATCGAACCATAGAGAGTCTTCAGGAAAGATGTTTGTATGACTGTTAATTAATCTCCAGCCCATTCAATGTATTTCATCTGCAACAATACTGAACTTGTTTAAAGACCCGTTTGGACATTAACATCTGAATGCAGAATTATTCAAAGCCCTGAGGAGATTTCTCTACATGAAAGACTGACAAATGGCAGATTAACCTGCTGCTGCTTCTCCAATAAGGTAGGTTATTAAATGTGACAGAAATGTGGATGATGTGTAATTTAACAGGGCTCATAACTAAGCAACATAACGATCTGTTAACAAGGAAGTAGTATATCCCAAAGCTTGCATATACCCCTGTTACACACTCAAAAGAATATACTTGTCCTTCAATTTGTTTTTGTTTTTTTTTTGTGTTTTTTTCTAAACAAATTGAAGGCAAAAGTAAGTAAACTAACTTCATCCAAGCCTTTAGGCATGAGTATAAATTACAAAACCACTGATACCACTGGAGCAAGGGTTGGGTAAACCCTAACAAACACTTTGCATGTCCAGTTTTAAATCACACATTGCGCATTCAAAATAAAGTAAAATCCTTACATTACTGTATATATCACTTTCCTTAAATATTAAAATCTTTATTTGATACAAAGTTTTTATAAGCTTTGATGACATTTAGCATTTGTCAAGAGTTCAATTGACTGTTAATAATAGTTTATAATGATATCACAGATAATTAATCCACTCAAGCAAGTGCTTTCAAGTTCCTGCATAATGGTTTCAACTGTATCAGCGGGACAGGAGGGCAGTGGCAGTTATTACACGGGTCTAAATATATAAAGGTGTTCAAGAGAGAGGCAGTGGAAACGTGATATTGCCTGTCTACAAGCAATGTTTCATGGAGGAACACTGCGGGACCGCTAGAGGTGCAATGCTTCCATGGGGACTGTAATAACGGGACAGGGCGTGGGAAGTTGTGTAAACAGGTGGTGAATGTACCGAGAGACCAGAGTGAGGCAACGGGGAGCGAAAAAGCAGGGCAGAAAACCGACGAGTGGCATAATTTGATATGAGGGGCAGAGGGAATGAGAGGGGCAGGCGAATAGACAGAGCAGATGTCAGAGAGCCACTGGAGTTTATAAGCTGGGGTCAACTTGGAGGATTATGAAGGATGCAGGGTTTCAGAGGACTGAACGCACTGTACAGTGTTTACAAAATAATAATGAATCTGCCAGTCAGGTGTTATTCATGTCTTTAAATGCAAGCATGTGTCTGATTTTACTGTTGCATTGCTTTAACTATCATGAGAATGTATGGTTGGCAGACCTTTGGAAAATAAACTAAAAATAATGAAATAAAATGTACTTCTAATGTTCTATTTCTTTCTCACTATTTTGATTTTAGTTCATTTCAGTAAAAAAAGCACAACATATTCTCAAACCATTACAATAATTAAAAAACTACCATAAATATATACAAGGCCAAGCCTCAAATGCACAAAGAGCAATGCAAAGCTGTTTAATGGCATGAAGAATAGAGACAAACTGCGCATGACAGCACACACCAATCTGCAAGATGTATTTACAAGATCGCTTGGTCTGGAAAACATCTGCCCTGTTCAAATTCTAAATTTCAACATCCTAAAGACTGGTTCTAAAAATCTAAACGCCTCTCTAATAGACATTTTGCAGATGACCAAATGCACTAATAAATAGATCATCCAGCTGTAAATACAAACATCGAATGGATGTCTCTGTGATGTACATGTACTATATACGGTTAAAAGATTACATTAATTCATTTATTTTTGTTTGGCTTTGTCCCTTTATTAATCTGGGGTCACCACAGTGGAATAAACCACCAACTTATCCAGATTATATGTTTTACATAACAGATGCCCTTCTAGCTGCAAACCATCACTGGGAAACACCCATACACTCACATTCACACTCATACACTTCGGATGGATGGATAATATGATATATAGACAGATGGATGGATGGATAATACGATATATAGACAGATGGATGGATGGATGGATGGATAGATAATACGATATATAGACAGATGGATGGATGGATGGATAATACGATATATAGACAGATGGATGAATGGATATTACAATTTATAGACAAATGGATGGATGGATGATAAGATAGATGAATGGATGGATTAATAGATAATATAATGGATGGATGGATGAATCGATAATATGATGGATGGATGGATGGATGGATAATACAATATACAGACAAGGATGGATGGATGGATGGATGGATAATACGACAGACAGATGGACAGACAGACAGACAGACAGACAGACAGACAGATAGATAGATAGATAGATAGATAGATAGATAGATAGATAGATAGATAGATAGATAGATAGATAGACGGATGGACGAACGGACAGACAGATAGATCTTGCAGACATGTATTAAAAATGCAAGTACAGATGTTTGTTCTCCTGAAATAAATGTGAATTCAAAGTTCTATTAGTCATTCAAGTCTCAAAAAGACAATGTAAACAGTTCACATTATAATTATAACAACTTTTATTAAATAAATAGCAAGTGATGTTTAAAAATCAGCCTTAGATCAGTTCAGAAAACTGCTTGAAAAAAAAAAAAAGCTACAGTCAGAAGAAAGCCATACAGAAGTGCTGCTGATCTAGACAAAATAATATGACTAAGTTACCTTATTTAAAACGTAACCTTCAATAAGTCAAAATTTGCATAAAAAAGTTAAAATACGAGTTACATTATCACACATGCAGAGATGTGTGGAGTGTTCTTGATAGAAACAGACAAAACGACAACATTCATTTGGTGTGTGACTTCAATCATTATTAATTTCTATTTAATTAAATCAATAACATTTTTGGGGATCTCGAGGCTCACATAAAACAACCATTATGCAAATAGGAAAAGTAAAAGACACATCTCCGAGCCGCTTCTGTCATCCATGAATATTAAGTCAAAGGCATAGACTGAGTATCTCAATCGCAATAGATGCCATTCATTATGATTTCAAAATCTGAACATTGCCAAAGATCCTGAACATTGCCAAAGATCCTTGGAAATCTTTATTTGTATATCTTTACAGCTGCAGAGTTACTGAAGTTTGTCCTGCGCGCTTGCAGTTTTTTTAGTTACTTCTTTGGTTTGGTGCGTTAATCTGATCGTTACTATTATTCAAAAGAAGGAAATGATTTGCACTCAATTGCTTCATACTGTTTTTAATTTTACTTTTTCTTACATTTTACGGGTGATAACAGACAAACAGACGTTCCGGCACAAAGCCTTCCTCAGTGTACAGTATATCTTTACAGCTTACATTACAATGGTTTCTAGCACAATTTTTACCATTAAAATATCCTACAATAAGAAGCTCTTTATAATATAAATCATGTTTTTAAGTGTATACAGTAAGTGTTTAGCCAAGTAGCATGAAGTGCAGCATGGTCATTGTGTGCGTTCAATTGTTTTCAATGTTAGTAATTTTGTTCTTGTTATTTTTGTTTAGAGTTTGTTTAGAGTTTGTTTAAAGTTTAGACTTTTTAGCTAATTTTATTTTCTTGTAGGTTTTGGTGTTCCATCTGCTCGTTCTAATAGCTTTTTACTTTTTTGAAGTAATAAAAGTATTTTTAAAGTAATAACAATAAAGTTATTTTAAAAAGTTATTGTTAATATTTAACAATACGAGTGTCACATACAGTATTATCTCAGTTTTGCAGAGATAATGTGTCATCAACACATTTAACATTGACAAGCGTGAACATATCTAAAAGGACAATATTACACAGCATATAGATCATTTATTATTCTCTCCCATATCTAGTTGCCTGTAGTTCAAACTATGAGCAAAACAACCAAATGCCTTTTAATTCACTCCACTGTAAATGAATGCATTTACAACTGATCTATTTGCAAATTTACTGAATTGTGAGAGGCAGTATCAAATAAGATTTTGAATTTGAGCCCCCAGCAGCAAATACTCATAGTTCAGATGGAAGTGGCGAAGAGAAAGATCTGCAGCAATGGCATCACCTTCAAGGTTGAGAGGTCAGCAAGAACAGCCTGTGAACAAACAAAAAATAAATGTAAAAACTGTATTAAAAATAAATAATAATATAAACCCTGAACCGTATAAGCAAAAATAAATCACACTCTGTTATAATAGTTGGGTTAAAAATACCCCAACATATAACCCAACTATAGGTTATTATAGCACCTTCTCGACTATGGGTTATTTTAACCCAATGCATTAAGTTATATAATTTAACCCAATAATTAGGGCATTGGGTTATTTTAACTAAATGTTATTTTATTTTCATTCTGGTATTACTATTGCTGCTAATACTGGGACTACTATACATTTTATAATTATGATGTGTAAATAAATAAGTTTCCAAAAATATAGAAAATGCTTTATTTTTATTTCATTAAAGTTCCAAACACTTTTGTTAAAATAAATCAAGACTCAAACAATGAAGAAACAGAACAAAGTGCAGACGGTTATAATCTGCAAGCAGAAAATCATGTGTTAATGGAGCAGAATATGGAGCTGTTTGTGCTATAAGACTTCACTCAGTGTCCACAATGTGCAATAGATTTTAACCACATCCAAAGCTTCTAAAAGATGTTCTTAGATGGTGAAATCGAAATAAAAACCACGACACGGAGAGGTAGTTTGATGAAAAATAAACAACAATATTATTGCGTTAAATTCAGTCATTCATTTTCTTTTCATCTTAGTCCCTTTATTAATCAGAGATCGCCACGGTGGAAAGAACCCCCAACTTATCCAGCACATGTTCTACACAGCGCACACCCGTCACTGGGAAACATCCATACACACTTACAAACATACACTAAGGACAATTTAGCCTACCCAATTCTCCTGTACCATGTGTCTTAGGACTCGTGGGGGAAACCGGACCACCCGGAAGAAACCCACACAAACACGGAGAAAACATGCAAACTCCACACAAAAACACCAACTGATCCAGTCGAGGCTCGAACCAGCAACCTTCTTGCTGTGAGGCAAACGTGCTGGATAAAATGGCGATTCATTCTGCTGTGGTGACACCGGATTAATAAAGGGACTAAGCCGAAAAGAAAATGAATGAATAAACGAATGGTTGAGTTATTACATAAATAACCACATAAAAGTTAAAAATAATAATTAAACAAAAACACCAAATATTTAACTCAACTGGTTAAATTATTAATAAATAACCTAATAAAGGTTAAAAATACCCCATCAAAGCACCAAATATATTTAACTCAACCACTGGGTTAAATAAAAAACTCAAAGTTTGTTAAAGTGCAAAATGAATACACAATAGAAATAGAATGACAACTAACTTCTTACAACTTATTTCAGAAAAAAAAAAGGTTTTAATATTGGACTAAAATCCAATACCTATTTTAAATACTGCCTTTTGATTAATACTCTGTGAAAGGATTAAGCAAACCCAAACATGAAATTTCAGTAATTAATTACTCATCCTCAAGGCTTTATTTTGCAAAAACAACCACCTGGATATACTTTCTACTTCTTCTTATCAATTGGCTACTTTCCACAAAATGTAGAAATTACATATACAACATTGTTCTGAGCCATAATAGTGTATTAATTGTTGAATTAAAATCAGAAGCGAAAATGGCTGAATGGAGCATACACTAACCTTCAAATTATTCAATCACAAGATGGCACAAAACAACCAAAAACAGCAATGTAACAGACAAGCATCTGTATAAATGTAAATATATTAACTGACGGATGGTCGGATTATTCCCAGATGATGACTTAGGATGAGTCCCGGATGAGCCTGTGTTATTAGTTTAGTGGTTGTTATCTTGGAACAACATATCTTGGAATGTTGTGATTGACTAATCAGAATTAAGTATTCCATACAGCCGTGTATCAGACCAACATACTCATTGAATCTAGTCCAGACCATGGTTCTGCAACTTCCATGATTAACACAACATAATCTTTCACAGTCAGTCAATGAATACATAGCCCACATGACGGATTCTCAACAAAGCCCTCAGTGGGAAGATAATCTGCAAAACAGATCCCCACAACCATCTAAAATCTGTAATGCCAAGACCAACTAAAAGCTCCCGATAAGTTCTCTAAACTGTGCAGCTCCACTTTCTTCATTAACTTGTCCAGAGGAGAAATGGTCCCCTGACTGAGCTTGGTTTCTCCCAAGGATGGAGATTGGAGTCCTAGTCACAGTCACCTTTGGCTTGCTTTGTTGGTAGAGCTTGACTCTGATTCTATAGTTACATTGTGTACTGAGATGTATGGAAGTTGCTATTTTCTAGGTTGATATACACTCACCAGCCACTTTATTAGGTACACCTTTCTAGTACGGGGTTGGACCCCCTTTTGCCTTCAGAACTGCCTTAATCCTTCGTGGTATATATTCAACAAAGTACTGGAAATATTCCTCAGAGATTTTGCTCCATATTGACATGATAGCATCACGCAGTTGCTGCAGATTTGTCGGCTGCACATCCATGATGCCAATCTCCCGTTCCATCACATCCCAAAGCCGCTCTATTGGATTGAGTTCTGGTGACTGTGAAGGTCATTTGAGTACAGTGAACTTATTTTCATTTTCAAGAAACCACCCTGAGATAATTCACGCTTTATGACATGGCGCGTTCTCCTGCTGCCATCAGAAGATGGGTATACTGTGGTCTTAAAGGAATGGACATGGTCAGCAACAATACTCGGGTAGGCCGTGGCATTTATAGGCCTAAAGTAAGCCAAAAAAAAATCCCCCACACCATTACACCACCACTACCAGCCTGAACCGTGGATTCAAGGCAGGATGGATCCATGTTTTTATGTTGCTGACGCCAAATTCTGATCCTACCATCCAAATGTTCCAGAAGAAATTGAGAATCATCAGCCCAGGCAAAGTTTTTCCAATTTTCTTTTGTTCAGTTTCGGTGAGCCTGTGTGATTTGTAGCCTCAGTTTCCAGTTTTTAGCTGACAGGAGTGGCACCCATTGTGGTCCTCTGCTGCTGTAGCCCATCCGCCTCAAGGTTGGATGTGTTGTGTGTTCAGAGATGCTCTGCTGCAGTCCACAGTTGTAACGAGTGGTTATTTGAGCTGGAACCAGTCTGGCCATTCTCCTCTGACCTCTGGCATCAACAAGGCATTTGCACCCCCAGAACGCTCACTGGATATTTTCCCTTTTTCAGACCATTCTCTGTAAACCCTAGAGATGGTTGTGCCTAAAAATCCCAGTAGATCAGCATTTTCTGAAATACTCAGACCAGCCCATTTAGCATCAACAACCATGTCACGTTCAAAGTCCATTATATTACCTTTCTTCCCCATTCTGATGCTCGCTTTGAATTGCAGCAGCCTACATGCCTAAATGCATTGAGTTGCTGCCATATGATTGGCTAATTAGTAATGTGCGTTGGGCAGGTGTACCTATTAAAGCGGCCGGTGAGTGTAACTAGGAGCAATACTCTCATTCTGACATAATAATTAAGGAACTTTGCTGCCCTACCATGACTAATATCATGCAGCAACTGAATATAGTCCTTAACTAGGTAATGTCATATCAGGGGCAAGCAGAGTTATTTTATTAATAAACTAGAATGAGAGTATAGTCATTTCCTAGCCATATGAGCCTAAAAAAATAGCAACTTTATGTCAGTCTTACACCATCAGTTGTAACTACAGAAGAGTCCAGCTTTAAATAGGAAAATAACCAAAACTCTTTATTTTAAAATTTCTGAGTAAGATGATATTGGTCTAATCTGATAATCAATGCTAAGCTAAGCTAAAAGTGCTCCCACCATACCCAGAGATCAGATGAATAGATTTAAAATCGTAAAACCTAAATATTTAACTCTTGGGGAACCTGCACTGATGCGCCTCAAGAGCTTTGAAGGTGCTAAGAGTGCATACGCCTTGCAGGAGCCGTTTGGGTGGGACCTTCACAAGGAATTAAGCGTTCTCAAGCTTCAGTGGTTATGGAGTTGGAAGCAAATAAATTTAGAGGCCCCTATCAGGTTAGCACATCTCATCTAAGGTTTCATGACCAAGCCTGGGGGCTAAAAATACAACGTGTTATGATACTTTCCCCGGTAGGGGCCAGGTGGTGCATAAGCAAGCAGATACTGTCCGGCAGCATCTTCGCAGCGTCTTGGGGCCCGGGCTCGTGCGTCACTGCGGGTTACAGCCAGATTTAATGAAAGCAGCTCAGATGCACTTTTACTACAGCTGTCAATCACGAAGTTGGATGTGAAAGCATCCTTTTAATTGACATCAAGTAAAGTGACTAGTACTGTCTGGGGTGTTCATTATTTAATCATGTATTAATTTAAAGTAGCACAGCCTGTTGAAGAGAGTTGGATTGACGGGCAATCTGACCAGTGTTAATGCAATTTGGCAGACAAACAAACCATACAGTGGAGTTAGTAAATCAGAATCAGTGGGCTTGCAAAGCAGACGGCAGGTACCCAGAAAGCCTGAGGAATACACAAAATTTCACGTCCACTCTTGTCATACTGACCACATTCCTCAATGTGGAAGTGTGCTTATTTTTGCGATTGTTTTAGAGCTTTCGGTTTTCAGTTGCCTATGGGAGAACTGACTAGGAATAATAAAATGACAGAAACAGGTCAAACTACTTGATCAACAAACAAATGTTTGCATGATTATACAGACAAAGCAGAATCATACAATAAGAAAATGAAGGGAAGTGAATGAGACCGGAAGACTCGAGCCAAAAAGATTGGAATGGCTGCGCCCACTCGTAAGCAAAGAATGAGGTCAATAAATCACCTTCATTTAGAACTTCACTCAAACCAAAGGCCCTCTCTTCCTGCCTCAGTTAAATGGTTTAAGATGGTTTGGATCTTTTAATCATGATAACTGACCTCTGACTAATTTGGTTCTTCAAACTAGTTTGCGAATCAGATAAAAACATCTGGGTTTGCACGTGATATGCAGTATCTTTCCACATACAGTGGGATACAGAAAGTATTCAGACTCCCTAATTTTTTTTTCACTCTTTGTTATATTATAACCATT